CTTAGGAATAATACCAATTGTGCTTGGCTTAAGAAAATTTCTCCTAAACACTTTTTTTGCAGGCTGAGGCAATGGTGCAGGCGTTGGTAAAGGGGCAAACATTGGTGGTTGTTATCATCTGTTCTCGAAATTTTAGACAGGCCCCTGTTAGAATTTCTACATCGGAAACACAGTAATCGATGAACTCTTTTTGAAAATCAAACTGGTCGCACTTATGATCCTCATACCATTTTAAAAATTCCTCTCGTGCCTCTGGTTTCATCGTGTCAGGGCTGTAATATTCGACCTGGGGTAGGGGCCCGACATACGATTGGTTTTCCAAGGTGTTAAATAAATGGGGAAAATATCCCTTCTTTAGTTCCTTTAATCCAAATGCTTTAGGGAGAGCTGAGAGAGGCATGGGAAAATAATTAAGGGAATCCAAAAATTTGATGTTTTGTAGTTGCATCAATATAATTTTGGTTCCTCTCATAATTAACTCTGGGGTTAGGTCAGTTTTCTTTAGTATGTAGCTTAAAATAAATTGATGGTCGAAAGCCTGACCGTTGTGCGCCAGCACAACAACTTCTTTGAATTTTTTTCTAATTTCTAAAAGGTGAATCATAAAGCTGGCAATGGGGTTTGCACCACGAACTTTTTGCAGTCTTAAGCCACATTTTTTACAAATTATATCTGATGTTTTTATGCACACATCGCAGCATTGTTTGAAAACACACAAATTCGGCTCGTGTTCCAGGTCGTCACCGTTGAGTTTTTCCTGTCTAGTCTCCAGGTCGTAGAAAACAAAAAGTACATCCTTTGTTTTTGGCTTTCCTGTATCTGGCTGCATGAAGCATAAATGCCCTTGTGGCTGGTGTTTTTGGCAAATTTTACAGAAAATTTCCCCGCATGTATGCTCTCTATTAGCCTTTATAGTTTTTAGGCACTTGGGGCAGAGTCGAACTTGTTGGCAAAGAGAGCCCTCTGTACCAACTTCTATATGGTTATCATAACAAGCCTGACTTTTAAATGTGCGAAGGCAGTCAGCACATTTAACCTTAATCCCTGCTTTACATGGTGGAGACCCTTGGCAGGCGACACAAGATTTAACACATCTGTGCTTGTTTTTGTGGTCGTGAGGAACTAGGCATTCCTCGCAATAATAGTTGCAGCAGAAGGTGGCTGTTAGTGAGGTCACGACATTGTAGTGCCCTTTGTGATATATTAAATTTAATTTTTTTGGGGCTGGCGGCCCAGAAAATATCACATCTCTGCCCTTTGTACCATATTTATACACGACTATGCGGTAGTCTACTAGATGCTGCTGGAATAACTGCAGCTCGGGAATACCAGCCCCCTCTTCAGGTATCCTTACATTTGCTTTTTCTATCAATTGTTGGGTTCTCACAGTCTGCACTTTTCCAATATCCCTGCGCACTTTAACATAGTCAGGGTCTTTGTCTACGTAAGCCATGGCCACGACAAGAGCTCGAGGTAGACATAAATTGTCATTATTTTTAATAGCGATTATCCCCTGACGCTTGGCGCACTCTTCATCAAAAGTGTTGTAGTTTTTCCCTCTGGGGGTGCCTTTCCCCACAGGTATCCTGACGGTGGTAACGCCCAAACAGAATGTTTCAGTATTTAGGCCCATGGAGTTGGATTGGTAGATGCTGGAGATAACACCCCAAACATCATCGAATGTAACTTCCACAGCAGGCCTAAATCGAACCCACCCTTGGCCCCTAGATAAGTCTTTACAGCCAAAATTAAAAGCTACTTGATCCTTCGGTAAAAGATTTTCTGTGGCTTTCTTGATGACATCACCAATGGCATTTTTTACCCATGTCACAGGTTCCTCCCTTGAAGGTGGGTCTCGCAACTTAAACTCCAGTGTACGACCTTGAAGATTGAAGCGTCGAACATTTTTTGAAAAATCTTTAACAATAATAAATTTTTCCATTTTAAAATTATCTGAACGATAAAAAGCAGTTATCAATTTGAGACGACGGATAACGACTGATAACATGCGGGTGTTATCGCTACTTTTTATACCTGTGATAACGTTCAGTCTTCCGTCCGACCATTTCGAAAACCAAAAAAGGGCCCCTGGGTCGGCTATATCCCTGTGTTAAAAGTGTTCGTCTTTCAATGCATTTGACCGCAAAAGCGATAAAAATACGATACTATTTTAATATTTTAATTTATTTAACCGCCAATTTATATTACAAATTCTTTTTGTTTGTTCGTGCATTAACCGCAAAAGTAAATTATATTTCATACATTATAAATCAATTTTTTATTGCAATTAATATTTACCTACTTAAAATAATATTTATTTTCTGACATTGTTTAAACTAGAATCTTTTATAATAACAACCATAATTAAATTCTACCTAACTAATCCACATATTTATACATTTATCAAATCCCTTTCGATAACGATGAAAATCTTTTATAATAGCTAAACAACCATATTAAAAATTCTTAAATTTGACCTAATTAATTTAAATTAAATTTACAGGGAGTGCAGTTTACGGTTTTAATTGTTTTTCGGGTAACCTTAAAATAGACGTTCAGGTGACAATACCACAATTTGGCCTTGAACGCCTTATCAGAGATGAGGCACCAAAACTGAGAAAAATAATCATATTTGTTATATTTATTTTCTGACAACACAATAGGTTACCACAATTTTGCCTTGATTTTTCAGCTTTTAATTTTAATTACAATAAATTTGCTTTAAAAGTTGATAATACCTTTAGCGATGAGTCATCATCTTGTGGTACCGCGTTGTTATTTTTATTATTACGCGCACCCAAAACTGTTGGATAAAATGATGCAATGTTACGCAAGGCCAGCTCGCGGTTTAAACGCTGGAGCTCAGCGGTGTGGCCACTGGGTATCTATTATTCAGACGACCGATATTTTAGATAGGGGCCCCCATGATTTTCGGCGATGGGCCCGTCCGAAGGACATACATTACTTTGGGAAATAGTTTTTTCTTATCAGTGCGCACCGCAAAAGTTTAATAACAATTTTAAACAGTATTTTTATATTATGTATTTTATAGTTTTTATACATTAGTTAAATTTAAATAATTAATAATTATTTAAATATAGCTTTTATCTCTTTTTATAAATTTTAAATATACCTAATATCCTCTAATGACATCATTATCAGATAAGAGTTTCCTGCAAAATTTCATGGGTTACTTATTAGTAAACATCATGACTCATATTTTGGCCGATCATTTTTTATAGCATCTCTAGGCGCCTGTTATCAATTCCGAACGGTAGCTCAACAGGTAGCGCTTCCGACTCTGGTGCAGAGGGTCTCGGGTTCAATCCCTGAGGCTGGCCGGCTGATAGCGGCCAACTGACGGCGACCTTGGTGGGAAAAGGTGGATGGTTAAGTGTGGTCGTGAGAATTAGTGAAGTTAGCTGATTTTTGAATTTCCCGCCCGCAGGTGTGTGACCTTGATATCTATTATTCAGAAGACCGATATTTTAGATAGAGGCCCCCATGATTTTCGGCGATGGGTCCGTCCGAAGGGCCCCCGGGCACCCTAAAAGGGGTCCCCATGGGGGCCGAGTCCAAAAGTGGGCGGGGCTTAGCGGGTCGGAAAAGTGGAGGGGTAAAGTGGGCGGGGCTTAGCGGGGTCGGAAAAAAGTGGAGGGGGTGGTCTCAACCGAGGCCCTACCTACTGTTGTTCGATACTAAAGAGACCTTAAATAGGTGGAAACAGCTGTCAATAGAAGTATTTTAAGTTAGTGCAACGCACTAAAAACATTATCTCTAGCGAGTTGAAGGTTTCATTTTCTGGAATAATACCACTGGTAATATACTAGTAATGCGTCAAGGAACTTCCTGTTTCCTTTTTTTTTCCTTTTTTCTGTGTAGTATGATTTAATTTGACCACAAACACATAATATTTAACACTGAAAAGGAGTTCAATTTACACCAGGTAAAATTTATTTTAATACTGTGTGAAAGTTAAATTAACACCATTTTAGTATTTGAATTTACACCGCCAACGAACCTTATTTAACACCATTTTAGTATTTGAATTGACACCGGACCAACGAACCTTATTTAACACCATTTTGGTTTGTATCGATATAGACCACGTATTGGTGTTAAATTGGTCATGAAATTTAGAACAGTGTACTAGCAGGATATAAAAGTTGATTAATGAGTGTTTTACTGAATTAATTATTTGTATAAAGCGACATTTATAAAACAATAAAGTAACCAACTTAGAAATCTGTTTTATCGACGCACCGCTGAAAATGTCAAATTTTTATGTGTAAATCGAAATGTATCCCTTGAAAATTAAGCGTTTAATCCGATATAGAAGCAATTTTTCACAGTGAAAGTAAAGAAAATATTTTATGGTTGAGTCTCCACCCGAAATTAAGTTAAATCTAGTTTAGTGCCGGCGAAATTGAAAGGTCAGTTCATAGGTATAAACTTTTCAAATATTTGCGTTGAGAAACTATTCAATACTTCTGTATTTTTGTATTGAGATAATAAAATAATTTTTCTTCATACATTGTTCCAAAGTACTTACTTTCGTCCCTAATAGCATGGACGAAAGTTTAACATTTACTCCCTGTGCTATTAGGGACGAAAGTACGTACTTTCGACCGAGGTAAACTTTCGTCCCTGCTATTAGGGACGAAAGTAAGTACTTTCGACATGTATGAAGAAAAATAGTATACACCACACGGGCCAAACGTTGACGCGCAGGGCCGAAAATTCAACTTTCGGCCCTTGTAGTGTAATATACTATTCACATTTAGTATTTTTTTACAAGAAGGTTGCTTTATTTTAACGATTGTGTGAAATTTGACAACTGCCAACTAAATTAAAACTAAGTTTAGCTCATGACTGAAAACCCGTTGCTAACTTGCTAACAGCCCGTGACTAAAAGGCCATAAAGCCACAACTATGTTTAAGTTCTGAATTAACGCTAAAAACAATAGTTAAATAAAAATATATTATAACAAAATAGTTACCGGCAACAAGCATGTGTGCTCCCTGTATTTCGGTATGAAAGAGCGGTGCATCAGCCGATACCTCGCATTTATAGTTTCCTGATAATTCTCGGCGTACGCCACGAAGGGTTACGTCGTTCGGACCCGAACGGGATATCTGAAACAAACGAAACGATTATTAGATAATACCGCTGGTCAGCAGATACTTTCCTCTATGTTGTGTTTTACGAAATAATCGAGGCAATTTACTTTATTTATGACTACGATATTTCAGTCTATTCTGCAAGATAATTTGGCCAAACAAATAATTCACTTAATCAGGATTATTGAGATATTTTATATTTTTAAATTCGTTAGTACAAAATTAGATACCTTTTTATTATGACATTAAAACATGTCGTTTTTTTAAAAATAATTTAATTTATAGTTATAAAATGGGCATTTATTAAAATCCGGTCTCTTGTAAGAAGATATCATTTTAACAAAATAAACCTTTTAAAAGTATTATATGAGTAAATATATTAAATAAATTTGTGATTGTAATCAGAAACGAAAACATTTCCAAGCACTTAATACTATTGATATCAATTACAAATACGAAGATATGAGGTAAACATTGTTTTAATTAGGTCAATGATTGTCCAAACTTGTTTGCAATGACCGGTAAATAGATTGTATGCGAATTTTACGATAAATGTTTGCGAATTTTACGATAAATGTTTTTAGCTGTAGGTCAGTGTGAGTATGAGTATGAGTATGGGAACGTATGGCAGGCTCCATCGACATTACCTTACACTAATCTCCCAGGGTTATTTTACCCTCTTTTTGTTCTCCTACGTATCCCACTACTGCACAGATCTGGTAGATCTACCCTAGGAGGTCGTGGATGACAGTGTCGATGGTTAAGGCCACTCCCGGATTTTTGTCACCGGGTCGGGCCATACGTCCAGTTTAGGCTAGTGGAGAGCGGGACAAGGAGGGTAATAAATGGTTTTTGGAGGACATTGAACTGACTCAAAACTAAGTACAATCCGGAATCCTCCTCAACCGGGGCTTTAGTAATAACCCCATTCAATTGGGATTCATAAATATGGGTCGGGGTATAAGTACGCTGCTAGAACCTGTCCTTGTTGGTGAACTTCTAAACGTCTCTATCCTAGTCTGTTTCCGGTTCCTGGTAACCTCTTGTTTGCCCCCCTGTGAGATAGTGAATCTTGTCTTTAGTACCAAAGTGTTGACGGCCACGACCCGCCGTAAGTGCCCTCTGCCTTCGTGGATATTCCTCATGCCGAGTACCGGCTACCGACCTTGTATATTCTTTATTTGTTTTATTGTTAAATTAGTGTTTATACCGTTTACATTTAATTTATATCTTTGAATTCTTACTTTTTTTATTTAATTTAAAATTATAAATATTAATATATAAAATAGATAAAGCCGGCCCTAAAGTGTACGTATCTGCCTTCGTGGATATTCAACCCCTCATGCCGAGTACCGACTATCGACATGGTATATTCTTTATTTATTTTATTGTTAAATTAGTGTTTATACCGTTTATTATTATTTAATTTATATCTTTTCATTCTTACTTTTTTCCAAATTTAATTTAAAAATATAAATATTAATATACAAAATAGACAAAATAGAAATAGACGGCCCTGTGGTGTATCGTATTAAAATTTAAAATACGGCCATAATGGCAGGCCTGTAACGTATGCTTTAATATAGGGTTTGTTTACGTTAGGCTTTAACGTGGTCGTTTTGTTTATTAAGAGACTCTTTATTTACTTTCGTTATCTTTTAAAGCTTTAATTTGTGGCTGGCCTGTAAGTTTATGCGTATATTATATAATATATATAATATAATAATACAATATTGTGACGTTCTTACTTGGTTTGGTTTTTTACACTCCTACGCTGTTATCGGTAATGATTAATTGTTGCCAGGTTTTTGTTACAGATTTGCGTATTAGGTCATGCAATGATACTTATCAGAATCTGCAGGTGATGATTCCTTCCACTCTTGGTTAGACTGTTTTTTTCTTTAAATAGGTGATTCCTTGACCTGTCCCCTATCACTTTATTACTTCCGTGTCCGCACGGACTTTACCCCTGTGTTCACCGTTGAGAGATTGCCTTTTGAGGAATTATTTGTTTCTATTAACCCTTTGGAGAACAGGTACCCTGATTTTACCTGTGTAGATATGTAGTAACCCAAAATAGTAGCACTGTTTCGCACCGCACTTTACTCGTATAGCTGTTTGAAAGGTCAGTATAAATTATAAATAAAAATATAGTTTTAAGTAGTACTTTAGTGGTTTAACAATACACATATTTAAAATATACAAGGTGCGTCATCTGTTATCGAGTTTTTAAATTTCATATTAAACACTTTTAATTAAATAAAATCGATTTTTTTAATTAAAAATGAAAGGTGGTTTTACTCCATTAAAAAATGGTAAATTCCCGACCGAATTTTGTTATTGAGATCTTAGATAACACAAAAAAACTAAGTGCTAGGATTTGGGTATGTGGCATAGATTTTTTATAAATTTTGACGCGCTGAATCCGAATCCGATGTCAAATCAACCTAACCTCAAAAAACTGAAAAAAAATTGTTTTTTCTGTTCTAGGGTTGAGGCTTATTAATAGTCATGTTTTTTAACGTGCCAAATCCAAATTTGTTATTAAAAATAATTTTACACGTCGTCCTTGAACCTCAACCTAGAACTCTTCATTTCAGAGTTCTCCATTTTTCTTGAGTTGTTTTGGAAATTACATCGACATTATGTCAAAATCACTAATATTTTTCAGCCTTATTCTTTTGCACTATACCGTGTTCTTTTTTTTCGAACATTCGTTTTTCTTTTCAGCATCCAGCAAAAATCGGTCATCGTGACTTTATTCCATCTACTCTGATATCGTTTCAAAAATTTGGATGTTTAATGAATTTGAAATAACAATTTCTTCATTCACACCTTAATAGGTTCCCCGCAAATGTTGGAAACTACAGTCACAGTGTGCTACAATGAAGAACAAGGAGAACGGTTCCATCAAGATATCAAAGTAATGGAACAACGATTTTAGAGTAGATGGGATGAAGTCATGATGGCCGATTTTTCCTGGATGCTGAAAAGAGAAACGAATATACGAGGCTAAAAAAGAAGACGTAACCCCTAAAACAGAATAAGGCTGGAAAATATTAGTGATTTTGACATCATGTTGATGAAGATTCCAAAACAACTTAAGAAAAATCGTGAACTTTGAAATGAAGAGTCCTAGGTTAAAGGACAACTGGTGATATTATTTTTGGCTCAAAATTTTTATTTGGCACGTGGAAAAACATAACTATTGATATGCCTCAACCTAGAACAGTTTTTTGAGGTTATGTTGAAACTTAGACGTGCAGGGCGAATTTTGACATCGGATTCTGATTCAGCGCGTCAAAATACATAAAAAAAGTCAATGTCGCATACCCAGATCCGGGTACTTTTGTTTTTTTGTGTGGCTGTGTAATCCAAAGGGGTCAAACCGCAGGATCAAAGTGGACATTAACATTTCACGAAATTATGCGATCACGCCAATAATTTTGGATTGTTAGGCGACTTGTTTGCGATATTGCACCGTCTCTATGGAAGGTCATCTATACCCAAGTCATCAAAGTTTGGCCTCAAAAAGTCAGCATGCGACGATATCGTTGATAACGACATTTCGGTTATATCGAAATAAATCATTTAAGGGGGTTTCGGATCCGGCAGTAGATTGGTGGAATCGGAAGGGAAGTTGCTTTAATACTTGATACCACGAAGACTAATAAAGAAAGGAGTACAAACCTATATGGAGGGGTTGAGGCAAAAATCATCTGCAATAATGAATTTTCTCAGTGCACGTTGGACGCTTTACTTTTAAACACATTAAAAACGTATTTTCTCCGGTTCCAGATACCTGTCCCCGAGGTGTATTAGTTTTGTGTAGGTGGTATTTGACTAACATGCTGGTTAGGACTCCTGTGATGGCTCTTAACTGGTTCGTGTTAAGTTTCAGGAATCGGTTTGACTCTTTGCAGTTTTAAGGACCCTTTATAAAGACCCATGACTGTCTGAGGCGAATTGCTCACTATAGTTTTATTTGTTCTGTGATCATAAAAATACGCGTTAAACATAGGAAGTTTGTACTTAATGCATACATAGCGTACCTCCAACCTGCAATACCAATAGCTATTTACATACCATGGGAGGAAAATAGTGCTTTTCCTCCCGTGAATAGTTTGATGCCCGACGCGAAGCAAAGGGTATTAAATATTCAAAGGAGGAAACGCATTTTCCTCCTGAGGTATGTATATGGTTTTTTTCTATTTTAATAACGGTTTTAAAGACATTTTAAGCGTTCCGGTTCTTTTTACTAACCCGGTATGGGGCTATAATATTATGACAAAATATTAAGTAGGTGTTGTGTCGCCGACGTTATGTTGACAACGCTTTGTTGCTATGGTATTTTTGGTAATACAAACATAACAGTTGTTATAAGCTGTCAGGTTGTTTATCATAAATTTGAAATTCTTTCTACGTTTTTTAAATTAGTTCTAGCGAAGAAGACCTGCCGCAAGATCTTGCTGAAGAGGCAAGAATAGTTGCAATGAATCTTCTTAATCAAAAATCGAAAGAGCGATATAAAAAGTAATAGTTTGTTCAAAGAGTAATTGGACAAGCGCGGAGTTTACTCCGATTTATCTTTTTTCTACAAAATCAAATAGGGCTAGACAAGGTATAAAAACTCTTGCTAATGTAAAATTGTTAAAAAAAAATAGAGGGAGGAAATTTGTTTTCCTCCCGGGGACGAAAAGAGGCATTTTCCTCCCTTGCTCGGGGGTGGAAAATTAAGTAGAAAAAAATTATTTTGTCATTTTATTACATTTTATTTAAAAAACAGCCAATTTTTTTAAGCGATTTTATAATTATTTATAATTTTAATACAAAAGGCACTATATACATATATATTGTAGCCCAAGAACGTGAATTAAAAAATGTATGAATAGTATTTAAACGGGACAACATTGTGAGTGGTTGATAGTTGGTTTCTATAGTAAGGATTTTCGCTTTTGGCAGTAGCAGTGACAGTTCTATATAAAGTGTTATTTAAAATTCAAAAATGAGTAAAA